CTGCTCAACGGGCACCCAGGTGGCTCAGTCAGTTAGGCATCCGACCCTTGATTTTGGTTCAGGTCATGATCTCAGGGTTGTGAGACTAAGCCCCGTGTGGGGCTCCACACTGCGCCTGGAGCCTGTTTAATATTTTCCCCCCCCCCCCCCGCCCCAGTCTAAAAAAAAAAAAAAAAAAAAAACAACAACAACGACAGAAACCCCTCTTCCCCAAAATGAACAAAATTAAGTGAGCCTCAGAGGCCTATGGAATACCATCTGTGTGGACCAACATAGGCATTATCGGAGTCCCATAAAGAAGGAGAGAGAGAAAGAGGTAGAAGGAATATCTAAAGAAATGACTAAAAGCTTCCCAAATATGATGAAAAACATTGATCTGCACACTACAGCAGTTCACCAAACTCCATGAAGGATAAACTCAAAGAGATTTCCACCTAGACACATCATAAACTATTTGAAACCGAGGATAGAATCGTGAAAGCAGCAAGAGAAAAAGACTCATTGTGTGCACTTCTCATCAGAAACCAGGGAGGTCAGAAAGCAGTAGGCTGGCACATTCAAAGTGCTAAAGGAAGAGATCGCCAACCAGTAACTCTATACCTAGCAAAACTATCCTTCAAAAATAAGAGAAATTAAATTATTCCAAGATAAACAAAACTAAGATAATTCATCACTAGTAGACTTGTCCTATAAGAAATACTGAAGGAAGTCCTTTATATTTAAGGAAATCTTTCCAATCACTAGCTAACCATTAAGCTAAATGAGCAGAGAATTCAGTGGTCACAAATGACAAAAAACACAAACTAGAGAATCAGTTCCAAAAAGTCACTAATAAACAAACAGCAGCAACAACAAAAATAACAACAAACTAACCCTCCTGAAGGGAGAGAATCTGATTTCCAGAGCTGCCCATTATTTTAAAAGTCCAGTTTTTAACAAAAAGTATTGAGACATGCAAAGAAATAGTAAAATATGAACCATATACAAAAAGAAAAAGCAGCCAACAGAAACTATCTTTGAAGAAGTCCAGACTTTGGATTTAGTAAACAAAGACTTTAGATCAGCTAGTATAAAATGTCTCATTAACAAAACACTCTGAG